CCAACTTACTACTACTAATGCTACTAAGATAGTAGGTTGATTTATGATCTTTTGAGAGAAACTGATAATTGATTGAATCATTTTATGTTAAGTCCATTATGAGCAAGTAGATATATCACTAATACTTTTTTGTATGCACTTTGTTTACATAGACATACTTTAGAATGTCCTCACTGAATTTTATTTCTAGACCTTTCCAAGTTCTTTGTAATTCTAGGGGGAGATGCAAGGCTGGGAGAAATCTCTTAAGGAAATATACTTTTGGTCAGTTCTTAGAGGCAGCTGAAAGTAACACTTTTGTTGTTTATTTTTGTAGATTCAGAAATATTTTACAGTATATCACAAGTGCCTTCTTATGGCCTTACAATTATGCTGACCTTTCATCTGACTGTGGAAGAATTCATATATATCATGGGAAACCCTGCAAATAAGGATGAATTACAAGTCACAAGGTGGATTAGGTTAATTGAACAAGTGTGTGATGCCATTTTAGCTGCTGTAGGGCCATGGTAGATGCAGGCAGGACACAGGACTTACGGAATACTTGTGACTTGCTGGACTGGCAGTGGATATCCAGGCAGGACAATCCAGGGCATCTCATATCACACTAAGCCCTGTGTTCAGGCAACTGAATTTGGTGCTTGATTTTGCACAATGTCTTTGTCTCCTTCCAGAATTCTCCCTCTCCTAAATCAGATGTCTGAAGAGTGTGATGGCTTGTTCTCCAGAGATATCTGTCTTTTTCTGTTGACAGTACTGACTGCTTCTTTCCAGGAAAGGATGAAGGTTGATGCTGGAAACTTACTTGTAGATGGCTAAATTTAATGGAAATTAAAGTGAGAGGGTGATATAATTCCACAGCACATATCTAGTAATGAAAACAAATTAGGACTTCTTCAGAACCTTCAATTACCCATATTCTGCAATTCCAGTTTGAAGATTGGCAGATATTCTGGCAAGTAAAAGTTATTTTTATATTTGATATTTTAAGTTAATTTAGTGTTTAACTGAGATGTTCTGGAGCAGAATGAATATTTCTAGTGAGACAGAAGCAGAAATTTACTTCTACTGCCCTTCAGTTCTGGCTTGAAAGATCCAGTCAGGCCTGGTTGGTTACCATTTGGTTACGGAACTGTTACATTATTCTTGCTTTAATTGTGGATGTAAGCAAGCAATGCAATTAATCTGTGGAGAGCAGATTCTGGTCAGATACCAATAAGTGAAGGTCTGTACCCTGGGAACTTGGGAATACTGATTATTCTTTTAGATTTGCATCAAGTGTACAGTATGCTAATTGGTTGGACCACAAAAAAAAAAGAGCTAATTTCTCTTTTCTGTGGCTGACAAAAATTATATTGACTGGCAGATATTATAAAAGCAGGTTTTGAACATCAAAATCTTACTATTTTGTGTGGCAGTTTCAGTTTGGCCGGGCAGAAACACCAATTAAGTGCAGTGGTTTTGGTTCGCCAATCCGAGTTTCCCGGCCAATGCAATGTACCCATTAATGTAGCGGGTCTAGCACTGGCCAAACGCCAGTGCACCTGCTGGAATGATTTACTCATTTTCTCCTGCAAGATAAGGATTAGGATAGGAGCAAAGCAGGCTCAAAACTTTGAAGGGTACAAAAAAAACTTTATTAACAGAACTAGAAGAAAAATAATAAGAAATCACAGATTTTCTCCTGCAAGATAAGGATTAGGATAGGAGCAAAGCAGGCTCAAAACTTTGAAGGGTACAAAAAAAACTTTATTAACAGAACTAAAAGAAAAATAATAAGAAATCACAATAGACTTTCACAACACTTCTCCTGCCCCCAACACCTCTTTCTTTTCCCACTGACAATGTAAAGAGACAAAATTCGGTATTTTCAGTCCGTTTACTACTTCTTAAACAACTTTTCTTCAGTTCACTTGAGGAGAGGACTCTCTCCTGCCATGTCATGGAGACTTTTCCACAAGAAACAATTATCTCATGGTTTTAATTTTGACAAATAGCAGCTGCCCAGAAATCTGCAATCGTCAAGTCCCTTGATGGTTTGGTAGTCTTCCCACAGCTACCACCATGGGTTATTTCAGCTTATTGGTGTGGACATGAATGACTATCTAAAAGTAAACTTGCAGTGATAACCTAGAACCTGTACACCTTCTTAGGAGTGAAAAATTCCTGGTGGCCAGTATGTGTAAGAGTTAATTAAGATGGGCATTTATTAGTCTGAACAATGCTGCATGATGCTTTTGAGTTGCACAAGCTGCAATGTCCCACCCACAGGTTGTTTCCATGCATAGAAGATTGCTTAAAAAGCAGTGGTGACTCTGCATGATGCTTTTGAGTTGCACAAGCTGCAATGTCCCACCCACGGGTTGTTTCCATGCATAGAAGATTGCTCAAAAAGCAGTGGTGACTCAGTAATACTGCCTTTCATTGAAAGGATTTTCATACTATGGAATGTGAGGAGGTGACACTGAGAAGGTTAAACAAGTTGATCTCAGCAGTCCAGGGTTTTCCTTTTGACAATACCAGTATTTTGATGATAACTGCAAGGTTGGAGGCCACCAGAACCCTGCAACTGAACAGCCCATATCGCAGCATTTATAGATCTATATATACCCCAACATCTTTTTGGACACCCCTGGAAAGACACATCTTCCTCAACGGTTCCTTGCAATACTGTGAGATAACCCACCCCAGCTCCACAAATGATCTGGTACTGGTATTGTCCAGACTTCACTTCTACAGCTGGAGATTTAGAAGAAAACATTCAAGATCAGGGAGGATGGGGCTCTGAACAACTTGATCTAGTTGGAGATGTTCCTGCTCGTTGCAGGAAGGTTGGACTACATGACATTTCCAGGGCCTTCCAAAGCAAACTGTTCTATGCTTCTAGGATTATTAAACATATCCATTTGACCCATAACATGAGATGTTTTTGTTACATCTCAAAGCCATAAACTCTGTCTGCATGTTCAGTTTAGGTCTCAATTCTTTTCACCTTAAATTAGTCCATTGGGCAAAATTATAAACAGTTTCTCACTTTATTTAGTTCAATGTTTATACAGTTGTGTTAAATACACACACAGACACACACAGAGTATAAGCAAGAAAAACTATTATTCTTCAATACGTTTTCAAGATCTGCTTGAAATATACACAGAAACATTGAAATTCAGCAAGCATGGGGGAAGAGTAGCAGCTTTGTGTGTAAGAAAGACATGATCCTAACTAAGTTCCACTGTCCATTTTTTGATGGATGCAGGAGCAAGACAGTAACCATTTTAGTACAGATGTTGCAAATAACAGCTTATCCTTTCCATGTATTATTTCACAATTTATGATTTCTCCATAACAGTCTTTGCCACATTGTTTTGTTTAATCTTTGTTCTATAAAACACAGAACACCTTGTTGTGTACTAACACCCACTTAGTGTTGAACTCCTCCTTGGAAATTATGATCATTCTGATCTCCCTGCCAAAAGTAAACCAGCTTCAAACCTCACAGAACTCAGGAGACTCTTTCCCTAACATACAGTAGAAAACAATAATTTATTCATTGTTTAGTACTGGGCAGCAGTGGACCAGAGCATATTTCTGCAGCAGTGGAAAGCTGCATGTTTGGAACTTAAATTCCACAAGTTGTGTTTGTAAAAAACTTGCTAAATTAACTCATCATACCTTGGAAGATCTATTTGAATATAACAGAAAGGTATATTGTTTCCATGAGCTGATAGTTACCTCACTCTTGAATTTTTGGTCAGCCAGCCTCTCACTCATATACCTGAAGTTCTCTGGGTATTTCCTTTATGTAACAGCTACAGGAGCAATATTACTGAATGTTTCCTTAAAAAATTACAGCTACGAGGAGTGTACTGCACTGTTTCTCTTAGAATTGTACTTATTTTCTCCACAAAATTAGGAGAGATTTCCACATGAACTCTTGAATTTTCAGAAACAAACTATATGTGATGTATGTGCACATCCAATTATTTCTATTCATGGTTGATATAAATAAACCTTCAAACTGTCAATGATACCAATGTCTACATGTCATAGACCTCTGGCAGGTTCAAATTTATTTAGCTTATAAAATAACAAAAATATATAACTCTTTCCAAGCACTGCTGTCTCATGTTAAGATTGGTAGAAGCAGTCCTGGATGAATCAGGGACACTTTTTTGTTCATTTTGAAATGCCTTCCTTTCAGTGCAGAAGCGGATAATTTCTTATACTTCCAGAACCTCTGCTTGCTCCTTCGTACGCAGCTGTCACTGCTGTCACTAAAATTGCTCAAGGCTTAAGGCCTCACCTTTGTCTCTCTGTTCCTGTTTCCAGCACCTAAAAGACCCAGACCGAAGATGTAAGGCTGTTACATTCTATTACTTTCTATTACTTTGGGAAAAATAATGGAGTCATAAGGTGCCTTGCACTTGCTAAAATTATAGCTTTAGAATAAATTAATGCTTCAAGCAATTAATACATTGCTTTAGTCTGCCCAGACTGACCTCAATGAAACTTTTATTTCATTATTGGCTTGGTCCAAGTTCATGCTTGGTTCATATTCAGCCTTACCAGATCTTCCATATCAACTCCTGTTTCTGCTTAGACACTTTCAGAAGATTTCTTTTTGTTTTGTGTGAGGCTGAGACTAGCAAATGGATTTGCAGGATCATGGCCTGGATTTGGTATTGCAGATATTGGCATCTTTTTAGCAATAGCCCACCTTTATTCTGCTTTTTGTTAAATAATCCATAATAATAAAAAGTAGAAGAATCCATAATTTAGGGAATTATCTTCAAATCCAGATTCTGTGATTGTGGCAAAAACCATGTTAAAAATCAAAGTAGATCTTTCTTAAGTTAATAATTTTAAAGTCTCACTGTACAATGTTAGCAGAACTTCTTCTATTTTTGAATATTTCCATGAAAAAACAGCATGTGAAAAAAAAGTTTTAAATAAACCATATATTCTTTTTTTTTACAGCTGATGGGAGCAGATGTAATTGTCTATTTTATCTCATCTGATACAAATCCTCCATTTATTTTAGCACTTGATTTTGAATCCTCTTTTTGTGCTGTTTTCTCAATATCTGTCTTTGTTTTGACACGGTGTCTTATGTAGAGACGGTAGCCTGAGGATCAATATATGGACAGTATTAAATAAAAGAATTATAAAAATTGCCTGAAAAAGATGCTATAGTAAAACATATCCACGCAACATTTATTTCCTTATATTGCTAAAATATTTCAACACCTCCAGAAAGTTTTTTTACAGCTATGCTTTGATTTTGAAATCCATTTGATTATTTTTATCCCTTCTTGTTTTCTCAATATACATGAAAAGTTAAACTGATTCTAATAATGACAATTATAATGGTATAATATAAAATTACTATACTTTACCTCCTAAAATTAGCAGTGCAAACAACAGCTGGAAAATGCTGTAGATGAGTGGAAAAGTAAACATCAGTTCAAGTTGTTCTGGAGTGAATGAGAGCTGTACTATAGTGGAACATAGCTGAGTGTTTTGCATTCCTGTTTCCAGAGACACTGTACGACACCTAAAGGGAATAATACAGTTATTATATAAATAAAGGCAGTTGGGAAATAGGATCCAGTGGGCCCTCAAGCTTTTTACTAATCTGGATAAGCAAAAAATGTAAAGGATAACTAAGAAAATTGTTTTCTTCAGCTACATAGTCAGCAAAACACTCCACCTATGGCTGGTACCACCAATTATTGGCAGTTCAGCAGCTGTAGAAGACTGTCAACCACCTTCAAGGCACATACGTGGCACTCACTGTCTCCCTCTCTTGCAATGATGTTCTAAATTGTAGACTGCTGCATCTACATGAGAGGTTTTACTGAAGTTCCAAACCACTTACAGTTCGGGTCTGTTTCACTTGCTTGAAGTGCAAGACATTGTCACACAAAGGGAAAACATATGAAGGGTTGGAGGAACTGCTATAGTCAGAATTTGTAAATAAATAAATGTGCAAAAGAAAAGTTTTGTCTGCACATAGTACGACAAAAAGCAGGCTTAGTGAATGAGTGACTCTGTAACATAATTAATGTTTAGGGAGCATTCTCAGCATTGATTAATTGCTAAATAAAATATTTTTACACAGTTGAATAAAGGCTATGCATTACCTGTTCCAAGACAGACCAGCTAGACGAGCCAGAAAGAATCCTAAAGTATAGCCAGCTGCTGGAAATATGGTACCAATGATCCATAATTTCGGTGTGATAATCCAGGAGCCTTTGTAGAGTATTCCCCCAACCACAGCAATGACCACGATGAGCACTGCTCCCACAATGGAACCTACCTGTGAAGCAAAAGAAGAGGGACTGAGTCAGAATCACAGAGTACTGCACAAAGGAGACCTCAAGGAAATTTAATGGCAATAAGAATGGTGTCAAACATGAGTCACTGAAATGTCATGTTAAACACAAAACCTAATGTTTGCAGCAATACAATTCAGAGAAGGCAGAGAGATGAGATAGTTGTCATTTTAACAAACAGGAGACGTATGATGTACTTCAAGGGGTGACTACAGCTCTAGATCAAGGCACAGCTGTAATAGGTATCTATAGCAGATATCTGTAAAACCAGTCTTTTGCAGCCTTGACTATAATTGTACTTAGGGCTGGGGATTAAATATAATTTCACAGATGTGATGTGAGTGAGGAATGGTGCACACTTTAGAAAAATTTCCCCAGAGTTGTTGAGAAACTGACAGCCTAGTAGGTAGAATACTGCATTTTCCTCCCCCCTTCGGTGAATCACACTCTGAGACTTAGTACAGTGTGTGCTAATTAGACACTAGATTGCTAGTGAGCTAGTGGTAGGAAATTATTTGCCAAGTGCAGGGGTAAATCTTTAATGACACTAAAAATTCATGCTTGAAAACTAGTTATGAACTTGAGCCCTTCCATACAGACCAAAGCACTGCAGTCAATCTTATTTCCTGTGACTGAATGTACTGAAGTCTTTACCACTGCTTGCCTAAAAACTTGTAACTCACTCTTTTCAATACCCAAGTGGAATGTCTGTCATTATAGCCAATGTTGCCAAGGATCTCAGAGACAGATTTCTTAGTCTAAGCTTACGAGAGTCTATTCCTCAGCTAAAACATGTATTGCCATTGAAGTGGTTTCATCAGTCTTTGGCTGAAGCGTTTTTAAGAGCACTGAGTGAACAAGTGCTTTTGTTTAGCTGAGCTATTAACCACACGCACTTTGGAAGAAGAAACATGGTCTGGCCATGACAAGCTCTTCTTTCACCTGGCACACTGTCTTTGTTCCCTTGTCTGAATTTCTCACTATATAGGCCTTAATCTGACAGCTATGGCTCAATCTTCACTTGATGCTTCATTGTCCTACACAAAGCAAACTCTCAAGGCTGTGGATTGCTCACCCACTCAGTAAGAAGGAATGAAATAGGGCTTTGCTGAGAGACCAGGTAGTTTCTTTACATGTGAGTACAAGTTCATGCTTCCCCCTCAACTTATTAAATAGAAATAGTAAGATGTGAATGCATTTAAAAATGCAACATGATAAGCTAGCAATTTAATAAAAATGTATTGACTTAAAAAGACCTTACTTGTGCCCTATGCTGTCTGAGCCAATAGCAAAGAAGTGATAACAAATATAGGTAGAAAAACAAGTGACCAGACTAGTTTTCTTTAAGAAAATTTAGATAATATATTTGTTAACTAAGAATGGTTAGCAAAGTCCAAGAATTCTCAGCACATCTGAAAATCTCTTTAAACCTAAACCAAATGTACAGAATGATTAATTTGCTAGATGTGGCTGAATTATTATTATTTTGATGAGAACAGTTTTTTTTTTGCTAAAATCCCCATATTTTTGATGCATCTGAAACCATATTGCAAAGATAGCTGTATTTTATGAATAGTTTTTTAACATTTATATAGGAGTTGGAATATTTTATGTTTATTATTTTTTAATAAAAATTGGCTTCACACTCAAAAATTGGCTCATAAAAAATCAGGAAACTCTCTTAAAAGGAGAAAGGCATTTTGATCCAGAATGATTTTATTTTTTATTGTTTTGCAGAGAAAAACTGCTTTCCGTTGACCTGAATGATTTTCCTTCCAATTTCAGCTTACATTATATACTGAACTCAATTACTAACATAGTTGCAGCCAAAGACAAAAGTAGGTTCTGTAGATAATGATGGTTGCTAATAATGCATGCAACTCATGCATGTTTGTGCAGGGAAAAAGCAATACATTTCCACAGCACCTCATTTGTTTTCTGCTGAAAACTTTCCAGGTCTTATGAAGTCAGATACTAATACTATGAATAGCAATGTACTGCTTCAGCGGTCCCACTGATTCCATAATTTGTCCATAATTGCTAATACTTCAGCCTTATACATCCTACCTTAAGTATGATTTTCGCTTTACTAGGCCATTTGTGGTTGACAAATATTCCAAATGAAACAGGAACTATAAGAGCTACCAGAGAAAGTCCTGTAAAAAAAGAAAAGAGAAGTCAAGACCCTGTATGGTGCAAGAGCTCACCACAGGACGGACACCGTGACGAGCGCCTGCGGGCCTGGAGCAGCCTTTCAGGGGATGTTTCTGGTGTGCACACCCTGGAGCACGCACGCACACTCTACCCGCACCTGCCCATTTGCTTTTCTATAGACTCTTATCTTTGGCAGCCTGTTGAAGTAATTGCCATTCTGCTGAGCTACATGCTCATTCACCTGCATCAGAAAGGCAGACAGAAATCTGAGTGTGCTAATCATCACTATCCTGTGATGTGAGTAGCTATATTAAATGTTCATTTTGTCTGCAGGTGTTTCACTACTGTACCGTATCAGCAACCTGTTTAGAGCTTCTTTTGTTTTGGACTTCCCCCTCTAGTATTTATTTTGAAAGCACAAGCAACGTATTGGATTTTTGTTTTTCCCCAAGGACAATGGGAAGCGAAGTTGAAGAATGTGAAAGTGATTCTGCTGGCTTTTAAGATTAGCACAACATGAAACTGCACTTGATAAGCACTAGGGCCACAGCTCAGCAAAGCACTGGAGCATGTATTTCTGAATACTTTAACTATTTTCTCTTTGTAGCTGGATGAGATTTTTGACAGGAAGTCAAATGAAGCCACTCCTGGCAGTGTAGATTGCAACTTTTCAAAGAGACTCAGCAGCTTTAATCACTTGCTTAATTATCCACATGTGATTAAGTATTTTGCCAGATTACAGTCTCAGCATTTAGCACTTTGCAGGATTGTGTCTTAAAGCTGTTATAGAACACTTTCATCCAGAAGAAGCAGCTATTCTTATATGAATTATTCTATATTCTTATCCCACTACCACATAGGTCTCAAAGCCATTTGGAAAGAAAAACGTGCACAATCTTGTCATAATTACCTGTACAATATTTACAACGGCTTCAAGTCTTTCTTTGACAGAGCTGTGGATGATGTGAGGTGATTTTTGGTGCCTAATGCCCATGGAGTTTATTAAAAAGTAGAAAGAGGAGTATTTTTAAAAATCTGAAGTAATTTCTTCCTGACTGCAGGATGATGGTATAGAGGTGGTTGTCCCTGAATGGAGGATAGAGAGAAGGGAAAGTGCTGTTTTGCTGGACTCACCAATGCTGTTATAGGGGAGTACAATTGCATCAGCATCAGTCCACATTTTGGTGTAAATAAAGAGACAAAGTGGCATCATTCCCATTGCAAGAATCGTGGAGCAAGTTGTCATGCTGATGCTGCAAAGAAATTGGTTACAGTGACAGTTCATCTCATGCTAGCCCATAGTCTGTCTCATTTTCTTATTACCATTTCACACCCTGTGAAAGGTTGTGCAAGAAATGTTGCTGGCTACAGACAATTTATCAGGTTAGAGAAAAGCTAAATGCAAGGAATGGCTTCTGCTGAAAAGAAAAGTACATGAAAAAATCAAGGTGTTCTGCAGCCACAGAACCATAACTTTTGGTACAAAGCAGGCAGTCAGGCAGGTGGCCAGCAGAAAAGTCTGTTGGCAAATCTGTCTCCATGCTGCTTGTCTGGCTGGTTTCAGAGAGAATGGCAAGCAGGGAACAGGAGCAGAGATCAAATAGAGCTTTCCATTATACCAGCAGTTCCAGAGTGTTAAAATTTCACTCTGAAGTCAATAGCATAGAAATTAATTTCATTGTCTATGATATGTGATATAATAAAATTCCCTTTTCTGGCTTGTTTTGCTCTAGGCCAAAAAGTAGGTGCTAAGAATTGTTCAGTGAGGCGTAGCATAAATATCGATGCTGCATTTTGCAAAAATATTTCTGTTTTCTGTTGTACAAAAAGATGCATTCTGCTACAGGAATGAAGAAATAGGAAAAGGCAAAACATCTAAAATAGGAGGAAACTCCTTATTTTAAGGAGTTGGAATTGGAATACAGCGGATAAGATTATGCATGCAAATATCATTTTTCTGGTATAAAAATAATGAGAAAGGGTTCTAGTTAAGAGATTTTGGAAGCTTTCTTCTGAGCCTCACTTCAGATTTCTCTTTATTGTTGCTTGTCCTCAGAAAAGGGACTACTGATCCTGGTCCACAAACTGATCAGATCCAGAGAAATCTAGACAAATTAATGCAGAAACTACAGGACTATCTGCGTTCATTTTGGTTCCAGTCACTCTCTGCTTTAGAGTAATTGAAGAGGATTTTGCAGGAGCCTCTGGCAAAAGACTTCCTATAGAAGTCTCCTACAGAGATAAAGAGTTACAGGCTACAATTAAGCTTTGATGAAGTCCCAAATGGAAAAAAAAAAAAAAAAAACCAAACCAAAACAAAATGCCTCGTGTTTTCTACCTCTGTATTTCCTGTATCTTTATACTGTCCCTGAATGTACCTCCTTCTCCAAAGTCTGGCCATCCTCTAACCCAAGTCCCTGTTTCCACAGAAGCAGTTGTTTTTGTGAAATACCAAAAGATATCTCTATGGGCAAGAATTAGAGGATATCAGCTGGGCTTGATTTACTAATAAAGACATGAAACATCACACTTCACCTGACTATGATTATAATGATAATTATAAAACTAATTCCTTCTTTAACTTGTGGTCTATTTGCACAGAGAGGTTTTGAAGCAGAAGTGTAGACTATGACCATGGGTTGTAATATATAATCATAAAATATTACTGTTAAAACCAAAACATTGTCTGATATAATGGACAGGTTTCTATAATACTGTGGTGGCTCCAGAAACCATCCACACAACTTCTGATGTTATTCTTCTATTGAGAAGAGAAGATGCTTGCCTTGACCATCTGCTGTACCTCCTGAACCCTGTGGTCCCTGCATCTTTGTTGCAAAGGCACTGACCAAAAGCCTTTGACCTCAGGTACAGGTCTTTACCTGAAGAATAACCTTTTAAAAGAATTTTCAATTAACTTCACCCTTTGTCAGCATCATAGAATAGAAATCCTCTTCATGTTTATAGCATTATAAATTTGGATTTTTACCACTGATTTTATTGGAGCAACTCTGAACATACAGAGCTGACCAAGCATAGTTTAGCTCACTTTATTCTTTCAGGCACAGATTAGAAAAAAATTTCAGCCTTGTACTCAATATCTTCTCATCTGTGATTTCTTAGACCTGTATTAATTGAAATTAAGAGTCTTATAGTTCTTAATATCATAGATTTTTCCTCTACAATGAGGAAGTCACGGATTAGCAGAGCGAACCTAATTTATAATTTGTAAACTGTTTTTTTACATTGACACCTGTATGTGACAGAAAATTCAATATTTTCAAAGGATGGAAAAAAGTGCTGTACTAAAGCTACAAATATTAACATTCTCGGACTATTTACTCTAGTTCCACATATTTCTTACTTCTACAATTTTTTCCATTTCTAGTTAAGACTGGCACATGATAAACTGGGTGAATGCTCCAATTTATTTTACTGTGTAGGAAGGAGAGAAATGTTCCTCTTTATTTTAGACCAAAGTAATCAGGACATAAAAATAAAAAGATGACTTGTTTTTATAGGCTCTTACAATTGATGAACCCCCCATGGAACTTGCATCAAGAGTAGGGTTCACTTCTCCTGTGTGTTTGATGTCCCAGGCCATGTCTGGTGCCTTACACATCTGAGTTCATAGCACTTTGTCATTGAGACCATCACACTGCCACAAAGGATGGTTTTCACTGCTCCCAATGTGCAGGGCTGCCTTAAGTAGTGGTTTCTAGCCTGTAAAATATTCCCTCAGTTTGAAGACTTTGCATAAGGTTCCAGGAGCAGAAAGAATCATCACAAGTATTCTTTAGAACTAGTATTAATTGAGAAAACAAATACTTGTCTTTTTATTGTATAGAACACAAAAGGAGGGAAAATATTTTTCCACAGGAGCTCTTTTCCAAGAAACATTACTTCAAGAAAAGTTGCCTAGCCACTATTTTGTACAGAGGATTCTGGTCCCAAAGTCCTATGTTTTTTAAAAATATTTTTACTACTCAAGATCTTGGGAGAAAGAAAAGTAATTTTAACTAGGGCAAAGTTTTCATAATGTATATTATTTTAGTTTTCTTCATAGATGGTGTTTACTCCAGGATCTGAAGTTTAACAATAAGGATATTTTCTAATGTACACAATTTTGTTGTGATATCTTCCTCATGAGTTCCCAATGAACCAAGGATAATTGCTATTCTGCTTATATTTACTGCAATTACAGTAACTAACCATCTTTATAAGGAGAAACCACCATGCATGTGCCAGGAAGCTAAGAAAAACACCAGACAGATCAGACAGTCCTTTTCAATGTAAAATTTACAATGTAAAGAGCCACATGAAGTACTTAGAGAACGGCTGCTCTTACCTTAGGTCCATGTCTCCATCCACCCAGTAGGCGATGACATTCGAGGCTGTGCCCCCTGGACAGCATCCCATGATCATCACCACAACAGCTTGAATAGGAAGGACGTTAAAGGCCAAAGAGAGCAAGAAGGCTGTGAGAGGCATAATTCCAAACTGGCAAAGGAAACCCACAAATATACCCCAGGGTCTTTTTATGTGGCCCAAGAAATTCTTAATTTCCACATTGCAGCCCATGGAGAACATCACCAAAGCCAGCATGATTGTTAGAACAGTACTTAAAACTACGCTCAAAGTTTGATTAAAATTATCTTCTGGCAATACACAGGAGGTGCCATTGCAAATAGTAGCATTTGCTGGACAAGCTGTGGAGTTTTCTGCCAAAGAACCAGCACTAAATTGCTGGGAAAGAAAGTTTGTCTGCATTTTGAAATGCAGAACTGCTCACTGCATCCGCAGTAAACTTTCAAGCCTACGGTTGTTTGCCAGTGACTTCTTTTAAATGATCCAGGAAGCAATAAAGTGCAATAAATGCCAGAAAAGTCTTACTACTCTTGAAGGGTTTGGCTCAGTGCTGATTCATATAGTTATAAAAGTTGCACTTGTTTGGTACAGTGACCATTAATCATTTATTCATATGGTAATGAGGGATCCCACATCAAGAGAATAGCTGTGTTAATATTTAAAGGTGTAAAGGAGGCTTGTAGTGCTGCTAAGCCTGTGAAATGAGAACCACAGGAGGAAGAGAAAGTTTAGACTTCATTCTTTGAGTTTCTTGCATGCCTTTGGGAGACCTGCTCAAGCATGCAATGTTGCTGGCAGTACAGGGGTCTGTGTGGTGAGTGAGACACAAGAAACCATAAGCAGAATGGTTTCTCATATCCTGAGATAGGATTTGAATCTGCAACTCTTGCTAACAGATGCAACATTCAGCACAACACACAGGCTCATTTGAATGACATGGAATCTTCCTTTCTGGCAGCATGGAGATTCAGAATCCTCCTTACACCTTGTGCAAGGTGCAGCAGTCACACTTTGACACACAGCTTAGAATGGATGTAGTGGACAGTGAGAGGAGGACAGTGGGGTTGCAAGGGCGGAGGAGGAAGGAAATATATTCTCTGAGTCAAGCATGGGGAACAGAGAGCAGGGCAGTGAGGCTGGCACACGACTGTGGAGCCATGGCACCCCGCAAGTTGACCAGGTCCCCTTCCCTGCCACGACACACTCAGCATTCACACCAGGGATGACAGTGCAGGTCACCTTTTCTTACCAGGTGCAGCACAAAGGTTAGGAGACAAGTTTCTTGTGCCTGGCTTTGGTATGGCTTGTTGTGCTCTGTCATCCCCAAGGCTCAAAAGCAGACTCAAATTTAAAAAAGGTTTTAAAGATTTACCCCTCAAGCTTCCATGAAAATCTGGAAATTTGGATGGTTTTCAGAGAAAGAATCTTAATTATTCTTCTTTACCTGTGCCCAAGCTTTGTGGCAGAAGTATCTTCAAGTGTAGATCTTAGACTAAAATCAAGCTTGACATGTAAAGTGCAATTGATGCCCCCCAATAATCTTTATTTTTCAACACAGAAATATTTTTTACTAGCCATAATTATCTTCAGCAAGCAAGACTCTCACTGGAAGACTCAGCACTTTGTGCCTAACATCAATGTGTGAAATGACAGGAATTATAGGAGTTGCTTTTTTTTTTTTTTTTTTTTAACTTTAAACCTTGAATTGTGTAGGGGGAGCTGACTGCCTTAGAAAGGATTTCCCAGCATGCTCAGATGGCACCTGTTTCTTTACAAAGGGGTCAGCTAAATGGCTGTATCTCCAAAGTCACTGCTGGGTGCCTGATGGGATAATGTCAGAGTAGCTTTATCCTCCCAGGCAGCTGGCAACTCCTACCCTGTGATTAGTGCCACATCTGTGTGACTAGGATATGTCTAACAGAACAACAAGTAAGGTAATAAGGAGCAGATGAAAGGAAAAGAAAGCCACAAGATCTCAGTTTGGCACAAAAACTTATTCTCCTTTTTATGTTTGATTCCAAATGGAATGTTTTAGGATATTTTACTTTTCAAGTCAAATCTTTTAAAGGGCTAGTAAGGTTTTTAAAGTGATATTAATAATGCTGTATTAATATTTTCTATAAAACTTCTATAAGAGTTTTGATTTGCAGTTGAACTTGCTTCTTGTTGAAACTAAAAGTTTTTTACAAGTGTCTTGAAATCTCCAGCAAACCTTGGGGCTGGGGGCAACTTTCCTAGTCCTGTAAATGTCTGGTATGCTGTGGAAACCCAGAGTGAGTAGTTTGGGTGAGGAGGTGAGGCTTAGAGTGGCTGTTTCTCAGCAGAGCCTCATGCAGGGCCTTTCTTTTACCTCCTCTGTCTCCTTGCAGACCCTTTGTCTGGGCACTGCAGGAGTGCTTGATGCTGCATCCCCAGAGACAGCACAGATGAAATGTCACTGGTTTGGGTCTCCAGCCTCTGCTAAGGGACTAGGCAGTGCAGCTGTCATTTTGGAGTTTGATTTCTGGGAATAGGAGGGAGATCTTCATGCTCAGGTTTTGTGCTTAACTAAGGACAAACACACATCAGCTACTCACCTGTGTGGCTTTGTGGAGCAGCAAGTTGTGTAAAATTAACCTGTATTTAACTGCTAGCTTTGCCTTTGTTTTTTTCCCCTCTATTTTAAAAGGGATGATTGTGAGTCATTATTTCAGCAGCTAGCTGTATAAAATCTTAGATCACAAAAATGTTGTCTGGAAACAGAAGAGAGCCCTTCTGAATTCAACTTATTATTAGGCTGACATTGCCACAATATAGCACAGATGGGAATTTCTGTATCAAGCAGTCCTTGCGTGTTAGGGAACTAAAACCTTATCCAAGACATTGAAATATTTACAGGCACAGTTAAAAAACTTGGCATGTTGCAGGAGGTACAGTATTATTGAGTAGGCAGGTGGGTCTCTCAGGAGTGCTGGATTTCAAACATTCCTCTAAGTCTGTTTTGCTTTTTAAAATGTGCTTCTGGGATTTAATCCATTTGCATGGACTAAATGCACGCTAGCGGGAGACATCCTCAAGGAAAGCAGCAATTCAGAGATGGTTTTCAGAGATACTTAGCTGTATGCCTTCTGTTTCACTGCCTGTTTTCCACTCAGGTTATGGTGCTTAACTGGTAAGACGGACTATGTACTGCTCTGTGAACCTAGCTGGCATCTTTTGCCTGGACATGTTGCACGTGTTAGTCAGGGTGATTTTAAGCATTTGCCATTGACATCCACAGAAGGAAGGAGCAGTGCAGTGAACTTGGTGGCATTTTGGTGATGATTAACATACCCAGACTGATTATTGACACTGGCAGCATACCTCAAATATGAGAAAAATCAATGCTTAAATAGAGAAATACCAAACTAAATGTATATTAGCATCACAAACAGCAATACTCTGATTTGTCTTGAATTTTTGCAGTGATGAGGCTACCAGCTTATTCAAGTGAGCTTAGTGTCCCTTCAGCAAACAAATCCAGGTAGGTAGAACTTGTAAGGATCTGTTCCTGTGCTGACAATTAGGTAATGGATTTATCCATTAACTCAGACAGTTATAAAACAACAACAGCAGTAAGTGCATACAGAACCCTGCATTGGGAGAGGCTATTTAACTGTTTGTCTTTTATGGCTGTCTGTACTTATTTCTGAGATGTTTCTCTTAATGAGACTTATGAATCTTCCCTGTCTGCTTAATTCAGACTCTGAGATGCTTCTTAGTATATTTATGTCTTGGTTAGAAGAATCTTTGCTTTCAGATAATTGATTACCTAAAGTCAATTACCTGCTTTTTACCACGATTTTTTTAAGAGAGACAGCAGCTGTACCTAGTATTGCTGAGCTTGTTTATAACTTTAAACTTTAGTATATAGTTCCAGCTATAGACGGAAGATATTTTTCATTTGTTAAAACTTTACTACACTGGAAGCTTATAGAAGCTTATAGAAGGCATTAAGAGAAGAAAATCTCCATGCAATAACAGGAGAGAAAAATGACATTAAAATACATCTAGCTTCCTATCAAAGTCTTCTGCAAGGCTAACTTACAGAATCTTTATATTTACATTTTTATATTTCACTGACTGGTGCAGACATCTAGACTCTGCCTGTTAGACTTTTGAGCTGAGTTTCAAAAGAAATATTGGGGGCACAGGTATTGAACTTAGCTGGGAAAAAAGCCTGATGTGTTACATACTTGGACTACAGGCAAATTTACCTGGCTGGTGTACTGATTCTGAGAGAAGCACCTTATAATCATGGCTGGATTCCTGCACAGAATAAGTGATTGGCTGGAGGGATAGGGTTCTCCAATGATTTGTCAGAACTCTAATTATTGTGCAAGGAGAAATCGATAGTGCTTTTCCATTTTCTGACACAATTCTGACTTCCCAATCCAAATCATGTTTTACTGCGCCCATCTTAAATAGTCAAATGTGAAAGTTTTCAGCAGAACATAACAAAAGTTCATAGTTACCATACAAATGCATGGAAGAGAATGCAATGGCCTTAGACTTTGTTCTTTTCTGATAGATGTACGAGCAGACAGTAAGGACTGTCTGCTGTGAGACAAACAGCAACAGACTGCCAAAAGCGTAAGGTAGCCTTCTGACTGCCAAACTGCAAGAGTGACTTCTGACATTGATTAAAAAAGCTGAAAGTTAGATCATTTCATAACAAATCAAAGAAATGAGTCCTGCTACCAGATATAAAAGTGTAAGTTTTTGAATGATTCTATTGGATTGGAATCCCTTAATAAAAGCATGTTTTCATGTTCCTCACCAAGGACTGGCTGTGGTCTTTGAGGGTTAACACACCACAGAAATATTTCAGCACCTGTCCTTTTGAAGTTTTAATTTTAATTAGTAGTATGGCTTAATTGGGATAAATAGCAAAAAAAAAAAAAAAAAAAAAATAGATACATAAATTCTAGACCAAAGGTTTGATTGATTTTAATTCTACAAGGTTAAAGAAAAATAAAATTATTATAGGAATTTTATTTTCCAGGAGCTGAAATTGGCTCTGTTAATTTTCATCAGAAGGGGAAACCACTTATACAGTTTCTTCTTTGCTATTGTGTTGGTTTATGACATTTAACTCCTGACTAGTAGTAGGAAACCAGTGTTTTTGCCTGCAGTTCCAATGGCCTTTCCCATCATTGTCAAACTCTAGAACCTGGCTGCACCCTTTAAAATTTTCATTTAGATAATTGATAAATTAAGTTGATATCTGATAAATCAAATTTGATAATTTGATAATTTTCTTTGAAGTAATAATAATTATGTAATAATTATGTTATAATAATAATTATAAATTAGATAATAATATAATAATTATAAAATCACCTAATTGTTCTCTCTGTTGTTTTGAGAGATAAAGGTAGAGT